AATTTGTTGTTTCTTTTTCTTTTTTCATTCTTGGAGAAATTGTGCAACAGTCTTTAAAATATAAGGAAATGGATACAATCATGCAATCTAATATTCTTGTTTTTCTTTCCAACGATATATACACACTTTAACAGCTGATAGCTTAATTGATTTTTTTCCTTTTCATTAGAATTAATGATGGAAGTCAAAGTAAGCTTTGAACAAAGGAAGTTCATTCTAAAATGTTACTGGACGAGTGAAAACATGGTTGAAGCGCAAAGACAGTTTAGGAGTGAATTTAAAAAAAATCCACCAAAGCGACTGACCATCACACGAATTAGAATGAAGTTTGAAGACAATGGAACTGTTCAGAATGTCCCTGAAAAGAATTATTGAAAGCGTACAGTCATCGGCAAGCCCCACAAAACAAGAAAGAGTACTGGAAACGTATCCACAAAGTCAATGAAAATCTGTGCGTCAAGCGAGTCGTGAGGTAGGTATTTCAAAATTGTCTGTCCAACAGATTTTGGCGCGCTGTCAGTGGAACAGTTAGATTCCAAGATTTATCCAAGTTAATTGAAAATAATTAGGAACAGAAGAGTGGAGTTCGATCCTGGCTTTGTAAGATCTTACCAAACAGTTGGAATGGACGAATGGATTTAGTAGAATACCCTCCGCTTTCATCAGACCTTAAACTACTAAACTTTTTATAGGGATACTTAAAAGACAAAGTCTACGATATGAAACATGTAAGAGTCGCTTAATTGAGAGCAGCCATTGAACGAGAATGCACAAAAATACCAAACGAAATGTTCCGTTATGTTTGCGATTCCATTGGTTCATGTTGTTGGACTAGAATGGACGACAGTTTGAAAACAGGCGTTGAGAAAACAAGAAAATAATGTCTGTAGATTCTATTAAATTTTGAAAATTAAAAGCATTTTAACACTGACATACATTTTTGAGGACACCCTGTATATATATATATATATATATATATATATATATATATATATATATATATATATATATATATATATGTGTGTGTGTGTGTGTGTGTGTGTGTATACGCATGTATGTGTCTATTCAGGTATGTGTATGCGTGCACGTCTATGAGTGTACTTGTTTGGGCTCTGAGATAACGCGTAATGATTCCCTATTCACTCGATGTATTCATGCAACCGATAGAAAATATTCTTACGTTATTTTTGTCATTAGGCTTTTTTCCCTCCATTATCTCTCTCCTAAATCATTCATTTTCGTCCCTTTTCGCTGTCCAAAGTCCTTAATCAGCGGAACTTTCTGAAATCCTGACGACAGATGTCTGTCCAGTATACAGCAGTAATTGTTCTCGATCAAGTCAAAAGAGGGCGCCACGCAGCTTTTATTACCGCAACTTTCATGTTAGGCACGCTTTCTTTCTTTTCTTTTTTTTTAAATTTTTATGCTTTTTTTTAATTGATCATTTCTTTTTCTTTCATCTGAGGCCAATGGGTAAGCGGAGAAAATCTATTTTTCTACGGTGTGATTATTTTATTTTAATTTTATTTATTTTTAAAAGACTATATTTTATTTATTTTTAATCATTTAACACCAAGTATGGAAAAAAACCACAAAGCCACATAGGTTTACTCAGTGTAACATTTTCTTCTTTGTGTGCCGTGTGTCCGACGTTGGCAGTTATGGCTCTCCATATCTTCCTGTCTTTCGTAGCTTTTAAATTTTGTCTTTCTCCTAAACCATGTTCCGCCATCCATTTAATCAAGCTCACTTATGTCATGAGCTGCTTTTCTCCGTCTCTCTTGCCTATAATCTGTCCTGTGAGTATCATATTTTCGAAACTGTCTTTCCTCATTATGTAGCCTATAAATTGAAACCTCTCTTATTGATGCTATGTAAAAGTTTCCTTTTTTTCATCCATTTTCATTAAAACTTCAGCTTTGGTCATCCTCATCATCCTTCTGATGAACCACTTTTCTGTTGCCTCAGTTCTGTTCTCGTTGAGAAGATTGTCCAGCACTCACAGCCATATAGGAGGACAGATATCAAATAAAGGTTTAGTACACATTTGCTTCATTCTAGCAAAGTTTTTACATTTCTTAATACTCTTTTTTTGGCGGCTTCTGGAAGGCATCTTTGACTATCACAACGCGTCTTTGGATTTCATTGGCTAGAAATTCTGGAATTATTATAGGTTTCTAGAAGGCTTTCAGAAGAATGATTTGAGTAAAAACTTTTCTAGAAACGTCAACATTTACTTCGTTTTGCTCATTATCACCTTTCCTATCAAAATTACTAGCGAACGTACACAACACATATTTCAAGAAATCAAATGCGAACGGTTGAATCCGTCGATGTTGAATTAAATATAGTCTAATGTTAATTATGTATTATGAATATGTCATGAAGATGGTCTACTAGACCGAAACGTCCGACGTTGACATTATATTAACATTAAAACAGCATAATCTATATATTTGCTTATATATATATATATATATATATATATATATATATATATATATATAATACAAATGTTTGGAGGTACAAAATTTATATATAGTTTTAAAAACAAGGAATGCATTGATTTTAAATTTAAAAGTCTCTAGGGCCCTTTCAGCCAACATCTCATCAGGAGACAATCGTTGGATCAGCGCAAAGAATATTAACGATAATGAAGAGCAAAAGAGGGGGAAGCACAAAAAATAACAAACAAGTATATATACTTGTAACGGGGAGAGGGGAAATAATCGTGTAAATAAATTATCGAGGACAGTTAAAATAAAATATCCCCTAACAGATTAAGAGACTTTTTACAAATTCTCTCTGCCGGCAGAGAGAAGGTTTCAATCCTATACAGACCGATTCCAAAATCTTCAAATGATTGTTGGAATCGGCTGTATGAATAATTTTAAACCACTTTTTTAAAACAACTTATATTCTCAACTAAATGTTGAGCAATAGCCGATTCCATATTCATGGGTGGAAGATAGCATATTCTATCTATCTTACCAAGTCGTATTTTGGAAGGTACGTGCTGATTGATTCTAGTTTCCAAATGCAAGGTTGTACGCCCCACATAACCAGCAGCACACTGGCTATTAAACTCATGTACTAAATTACTCAATTTGATGTAGGGCAATACATCCTTGCGAAAAGACTGAAACGCAGACCTAGTTCTAAAAATGCTACGTAAAGCAACTGATGGGAAACAACCGGAAACCGACTTGCTAACCTGCTTAATTAAGCCTTTGACCCTATCCCCAATCCAGGGAATCTTCAAATAAACCGGACATTTAGAAGGCCCCTGGATTTTAGGGGAATGAAATTCCTTAGTCTTCTTACTAATAATATAGTCAATAAGGGCCTCCGGATAGCCGTTACTAAGGAAAATCTCTCTAATGTTTTCAAATTCACGGTCCAATCTAATAGAAGAATATATATATATATATATATATATATATATATATATATATATATATGTGTGTGTGTGTGTGTGTGTGTGTGTGTGTGTGTGTGTGTGTCTTTGTAACATTCTCTAGCACCTTAGTGATTCTCTGCTTAAGTTCCTCTAGTCTTGTATGGAGAGTGGGATCTAGGCCTGTCCTTTCGCATAGCCCCATAGAAAAAAATAACAATTTGGTGGCCATTTCAACAGCACATTGCCATTATCACTGGGAAGTCCGATCCATCTTCCTAGTATTGCACAGTCAATTTTGCTAAAAATGAGATCATCTGAACGATACATGGCGGTTATTAGACGGCAAAATGATAACAATTTGGTAGAGTGGGGGCACTCTGTATATGTTTCCATTGCAGCTCTAAGCTTGAAATGTATGTTTCTCTTGTAGAAAATTGAAAAATGACACAAGGCAAATAGACAAAAGTAAAAATGCAAGCACGCACTGAAAACAACCATGAATTAAATAAAATGTAATTTTCTAAACATAATGAATTTCAGCGTCAAGTTTGTTGAAGTTAATTGATAAAATACCAATTCATGAGTGTTCATAAAAATGACCCCCTAAATACTTAAAGTGTAAGGATATATACCTACAGTGAACTTTACGCACAGCAGTAAACAAATATTAATTACCCTTCTGGAATCGAGAAAAAAAATACTACAAATATGCTTAATCTTTTTTTCTGTAGTTTTCGATAAGTAAACATCCTATCAATATTTTGAACTAGATAGATAGATATATAGATAGATAGTAGATACATAGATAGATAGATACTTACATACGTACATATATATATATATAGATAGATAGATAGATAGATAGATAGGGTCTTGTATAATGTAAATGTACTAGCAATATTTTGAACGACTATATATATATATATATATATATATATATATAGAGAGAGAGAGAGATAGATAGATAGATAGATAGATAGATAGATGTGAAACTATGAAATACATAGGCAGATATATAGTTAGCTAGAGAGATATGAACACCTTCAAATAGATAGATAGATAGAGAGAGAGAGAGAGAGAGATAGTAAGATATAGAGAGATAGACAGACACGAACAGACATAGCGAGCTAGCTAGCTTGATAGATAGATAGATAAGATACATAGATAACGAACAATTTCAGATATCTAGAGAGATATTTATTATATATATATACGCAGGCAGATATATGTATTTGAAAGATTTTGACCCGCTAATACAGATTTGAAGACCTCAACCCCATATATATATATATATATATATATATATATATATATATATATATATAGTTGGTGCAAAAATAATGACATACTAATGTCGTTTTTTGACGTATTTTTAACGTTAACAAACGACATTCTTACGTCATTATTTTTGCACCAACTAATATATATATATATATATATATATATATATATATATATATATATATATATATATATATATAGAGAGAGAGAGAGAGAGAGAGAGAGGGAGAGAAAGAGAAATGTAAACGGAGAGATGACGGTGATAAAGATGAACAACCTTATTTAGAAAGTTAATCGTACAGTTTGTTTTAATTCTTAA